CAGGAACTGTCAACACCAGTAAGATGCTTCATTAAGTAGAAAACATCAGATGATCTACTAACCCATTCTCAATCAGTCATCATTTTACACAGCTGCTGGAAGCCTATTTTTTCTTTTTTCAGCTGGTTTGAACCTCATAGTAGTACAAAATGGTGTGCTAAAATTGGCATTGTTTTTAAAAGTCTTCATTATAAGATCTGTGCTCCTAAAGTCTTCGCTTTTGCCCAGAGCTTTCGCTGGAATTATGCTTACATACAGGATCACTTGAAGGATCACCTGTAACCTTTTTATTTTGGTTCTTCGCACCAGTAAATGCCAGAAACCGCCCTAATGTCCTGAGAAATGTGTGATAATGCCAGCGTGTTCATGCATGCAAGGGGAGGGTTGGGAGAGACTTTTCAAGGAGGAGGGGAGATATTCCTTCTTTAATTCTCGGATGCAAAAGGATGAAGGATGCAGGTGCAGAAGTACTTTGTTGGTCTTACTTTTGTGCTAAAGAAAGAATATCTTAGATAAGCAGTATGCAGAGATTACAGATCACTGTGAGATTTTGAATTTTGATTCTTTTTAATGAAATGCAAAAACCATTTTAAGAGCCATTGGAAATTTGTCATATGCTTTAACCTGGTTTAAATCTGTTCAAAATGCCTTCAAAGACAAGTTAGAACAGAGAGAGATTTAGGTTGTAATAAGAATTAGGAATTTTAGTTCCATAAAATTCCTTTAAAGTTTCATTCTCAGTGTTTGAAAGCGTGCATACAAAGTTAACTGGCAAATTGGTATGGAGAACTAGAATCCATATATTTAGTGCTATAAACAGCTGTTATCCTTGGTAACATCACTGGTGAATGGTAGGAGTTCAAATACTGACAATCAGGGTTATATCTTTTGGAAATTATTCACTACCTACTACTTCTTTCCTTGTAATGATTTTCTAAAATTATTTTTGAATAATTAAAAAATGACAAGGGAGATTCATAAATACTTTGGGAAGCTTCTCAAAAAGCTGAATTCTGTCATGTAAGTGACTTAGTTTGCGTAATGCATTAGAACAGTGGCCTGAATTAATATGACAAAGTAGACGCTGTTAATGAGATATGTCCTCAGTTCACCCCATTTATCACTGTTAAGTATATATGTTATGCTGCGCTCTAATTAAAGGTGAAGCCAGTAGCTTGACACTTTCCAGAAGATGGCCTTGTTTCAGTTTCCTGTGTTTTTGCCAAAATACTTGGGATGAGATGTTCTGTGCTGAATAGTCGCCTGAGAAGCATTTCATTTCATTTCATTTTACAAACTCAGAGATGTCCAAATTGCACATTCAGAATCATCAGCGTTAACAGGGCCTGTGTGTATCTGCACTGTGTTAAGTCTTTTATTGTATGCTCATGTGGGATGCTGTCACAAGAGATGAACAAAGTTACAAAAGGTGAAGTACAGTTACGCAAGAAGGGATTTGTATAGAGAGCAAAGTTGCATCTCAAATGGGTGGAGTGTTGCAGAGCATTATCAGAGGTTGTTAAGATTAAGAACCTTGGATTCCGCTCTACAGACTGAACCCTTCATATCACAGAGTTTTGGGTAGTTCTGAATGGTGCTGTAAAATGTTGAGCTCTCTGAAAAATTAAGTTCTCAAATTGCTGGTTTGCACCCAACTATTACTCCTGCCCTACACTGAACATGCATTGTGTGCCATGTGATGTTATTCAGCTGAACTTTTTAGAACATTTCTCCAGCTTTTCTTATTCACCCAGAACTGTTTAGTACGGAGTCCAATGACTTAGAAATGAAACTACTTTTCCACTGACAGAACCTCTTTACCTTATTTCACAAGCATGCTGCAGTGAAGTAATTTCTACAAATATGAGCACTCTTGGGGCATTAAATAGAAAATAATTCTTTCTGCAACCTTTAAGCATGCAAGTTATCTCAGAGAAGATTGCTATAGTGGGGCTTAGGTCTAACCAGCATAGTGTTTTCTTGATTGCTGGCCTATTTTTTTGCAAATATTTCTCTGTTTAATTGATTGGTAGTATATGCATATTCAAGTGCATGGATTCAAGTAAAATATAAGAAGCTGGCTGAAACTCCTGAGCAGCTCTCGAAAGCAGAGTGTGTGTGGTCCTGATTTAAACGAGGAGCTGTGCCGTGTATTGAGGGGTCTGTCAACAAAAGCTAGAGGATAGGCCTAAAGCCATCTCTAGTAAATGTTTGCTCAAGTTAGCAGAACACTGGTGAAATGTACTACAAGGAGTTACTTAATGTCAGCAGAAAATGGTTCTAGTTATATTACTACTAAGCATGTGTTGAGGTTCATTAACCTGTCAGCTCTGCTCATAGTTCTCAGACATGAGGTGTGACCTGATGCCATTCAGTGCATTACCATAAATAAAAACTTAGTGATAACACTATATAGAATGGCAGCCAAAAATAACATCATCTTTGCATTTCCTGACAATGCACGTTGTCAGTGCCTGGGACTTTGGCAAAGTCGGAGGTAGTCCTCATTGGCACAGTAGCTGCTGATTCATTAAACGCTTAGCCTGTGACACTTCCAAAGAATGTGCTCTATAGCTTAGAAGTCATGCACTGATTATTTGGTTACTATGTCAGGGAAATGCATCTGTTTGAAATAATGATCTTCTAGTGAATTATTTTGCTCAACACTAGCATTTGGCTTAAATATAACAAAGATATCATCTCTTCAAAGCAAGTATTTATATAGTGCTATATCAGATTGAAACTTTACATGTAACCTACTGATATTCAGCCATGCCTTGGTGCAGAATAGAAATAGCATTATCTGGCCCATACACTGTAAGTATTGCCAAAGGAAAATGTTCTTACCCATCAGAAAAAAATAAGTGCAAATCTTGCATGTAAAACCCACCAATTAGATACACATTGAGTATGACAGTTTGATTCATTATGTTTTTGCAGCAATGTATTTGATTGTAATAACGATCAGCAACAGTAATAACGGGAAAGGGAGTACTAACTCATCAGTGTTAACCCAGGTTCCTGGAATAAATTCTTACTAGCATTTATAATAGTACAGGGCTTTTTATTCAAACAGTAGCTGTATTGGAATGAATTTGGTAAATGTGTGCACATTAGGGGAAGAGAGAAAAAAAGATAAATTTTCCTTCCCACCTCCCCTCCAGTGGGGAGGCAATAACTGCAGAGAACTGGCTGTTCTCAGTCATCACTGGTAAAAGATCGATCACTGTTCTCTTGTCGCTTTTCCAGTAACTCCACCATTAGTCAGGAACCCAGCATATGAGTAAGGCTGCCAGATGATACCTTGGCTTCTCTCACAGGACAGAAACCCTGATTTGTGATCTGCAGCCATAACACAGACTTCTGGTCAGATAGCTGCTTTCCTAATCCCAGATACTGCTCAGCAGTGAGTGCTGTCTCCATCTCTTTCCTCGTGGCTGCTCTCCCAAAGCAGGTGAAAAAGCCAAAACAGCAAGTTTATGTAAGGCAGATAGGTAAAACTGGCTGATTTTCTTCTTTCCCAGCCCATATTGAAGGTAATATTACTGTTTTACTATTGTCGTGCCTATTACTATGGATATCAGAATATGATATCCTGCCATCAGTGTTTCTACTTGTATCACCTTGCAGCTAGTCTACAGCAGTTATACAAAAACATGAAGCCAATGGTATGTAGACGGCTTTTAGTTACTGCAGAATAATGCATCTCTTCAACTGCTATTTGAGGACATCAAATTTATTTCTCTGTAGTGGCCTTGATGGGTGGTCTTCGTCCTAATTATTAAAGCACTCTTAGTCTAGCCCTGGATGTCTTAATCATCTCCTGGCCTAGATTGAAGACTGTGAGTGTTAAGTTCAGGCTTGAGCTCCCTGTGTCTTTGGTTCCCATTCAGTCTTCTACCTCTTGGATGGTAACTTGGCTGTGAAAAAATGCAGTGCAGGCATAGAAATGAAAGTTAAACCTGATTTTTACAGAGGGAACAAAGTGTGTTGCCTGCAATCTATTGTTGCCCAGAGACTAGAGAAGATGGGGATCACTGATATGTTGCTGTCACACTTGGAAGAGCTCATCTAGCACTGGTCTGAACTCCGCTGAACATTAAGGGGTTTTGCACGTTCTATCATGTGCTGCTTTGCGTGCAAATTATTTTGTGTTCTGGTGTATAAATACCAAATACCATGTACATTTAAAAATGAAACCCAGAAAAACTAAAAACTTAACCAAACCAATACTAGAAAGCACCCTCTTACAAAACAAAACTCTACATGGAAAAGACTATTTGAAAACATTATTCAGACTGTTTGATGTATTTATTGTAGAGGGTACTCACACTTCAGCAAGGAGTTTATTTCAACAGTTTACATACAGTTTGTTTAGTTGCTCCATAAATAGTAGCATTTTTGACCCTTTAGAAAGATATTATAGCACCTTTTTAGACAGTTGCAGAGCAACATTAGAGTGAAGTATTAATCTTTCTTGTTGAAGAAAATTTGGAAAAAAACAGTAAGAACTGAATTACTACAAATGAGTACCTTTCACTTTAGTCTTCACCAGGTTTCAGTTAGCACAGTTCGATGACATGCCAGCTGATGGCATTACTTCCTTGCTACATGTAATAGTGTAAACTGTCACAGGTTTTTTGTCTTCAGGCAGAGATACCACATTTCAAGTGGTATCAAGTGGCCTGCTTTGGGCTGCTGCTCAGAATTTAAGAATTATTTGTACAGTTACTTGACCTTAACTGTGAGCTCCAGCTGGTAAACTGTTATGGATAGTCACGTCATTTTATTTATTTGTTTCATTTCTGTAGGCCACTTGCTTGGGCTTTCCCATGATGACTCCAAATTTTGTGAGGAGAACTTTGGCTCCATGGAAGATAAGCGTCTCATGTCCTCCATTCTGACTAGCATCGATGCCTCAAAACCCTGGTCCAAATGCACTTCAGCAACTATAACAGAGTTTTTTGATGATGGTCATGGTACGTATTATCACACCTTGTGTCAGCTACATGTTAGTTTTAACTATGTTCTATTTTTTGTTTATAAGAACATTTTATACCAGCTTGTTAATTCCTTGCTCATCCTCAGGACTATCTTGGAAGAGCTTGCAAAACAAGGCAAAGGTCTAAAAGGCTGGCAGAGTCTTGCACTCCTTTTGCATGGTTCAAATGCAAGAGAAAAGAAAGAGTTTATGGGCTGTGTGTTGGCAATAATTTGGTTTGGAATATAAAGAGGTTTTTTTTTAAAGCATGAAATTATTCTTGTCTTCCCAAATGCCACAGATATGAGCTCAGAGAGTATTTTAAACACAGGATACAAGGAAATGGCTTTTTCCTCACAGAAATTAAATTGGGTGATATGGTCTACTTAGTGTTAGACTACAGATATGAGCAAAGTGTGTGTGTTCTTGTTGCTATTAATTACATTTCTTATGTTTATAATGCCATTATACTCATTACATTTATAATGCCATTGTATTTATTATGTTTATGTAGAGGGTCTGTAAGCAAGAAATAAGACTCCTCTGTGCTGTACATGGTAAAAGATTACTTCTGACCCAGGAGCTTACCTTCAAAGTCATGTAACTAATATTTGTTAAATATGTCATTTACCCTTTGGAGAGTAAGTGCAAAATTTTCATTTTCTGAATGTAGTAATAAAAAAGCATAGTCTTCACTTTTTAATGATTTTTAAAGTCTTCATTCTGCTCCCAAAGCAACTGCAGTTCTTAAACAAACAATTCAAATTCCAAAATGCTGAGATAAAAATGACACAATTGAGCGAATGGATCAAGTTGTTATAGTAACCAAAATGCTTATGGATAAAAAGTATGGTAAGTCTGCTGAATGTAAAGGTTTTCTTGCTTTTAAGTATTTTGTCGGCTAATTTCAGTGCTCACTGAAATATTTTCTCCCATTTTCCTCTATTGGAGAATGACTTCATTTTTTCTCACAATTTTATTAGATCCATTAATCTGTACTGTCCTGGTTTATGGTCCATATTGCTTTGGCATTTACTTAATGTTACTAAGTTAGTTTCCACATATGAAGATAACTTTCCTTTTTAAGGTTAGTTACTGAGGTACAGTTCAGTTCGCTGTGGTAGAAAAAAGGGACCTCCCTTGGCACCTTGCCATCCGTGAATGACCTCTTAGCGCAAAGGACTCTGAACTACATTTCCTCTTCTGTTCCTCTCCTGCTGCAGGTGAACTGAAAAGTTGATCTCATTTTTTTGCTTGTTTTGTGACCTGACTTCTTTTTACTACGCATCCAGCTAGTTACTTTCTCCAACAATCAAGAATACAAAGAAAGCATTTTTTCCACCACCTGACCTTTGGCTCGTCTATATCTGGGTAGATGCTTTAAATTTGGACACTTGTCCATGAGCTGGACCTAGTCTCAGTGTGAAGAGAGGGAGGGGGGGCTGTAACAATGAGTCCTACAGGTCTCTGCCAGCTTTTTTCAGTAAAAGTAGATAGGAGCTTCACATCCTTCAGAGCTGCATTATGGTCTCCTTGTTCATCATGAGTGCTGACTTCCTCCTGTACAAGAAGTTGGGCAGTCCTGAACTGCTGACACTTTTCACAAAGTTGCATATTCTTTGCTGCATGTAAAAGGCTTAGGATCTGTCAGTCTCTTAATGGATGGGTTAGGGTACCTAACACTTTCTAATACTCATGAGTAGTTTTCACTCAGGCATGTAGTCTGAAGGAGTTATTGATATGATGAAATAATTCATAAAACCTCTTGTCAAATAGAAGTCTGTAGTCCTCTGGGAATTAATTTTATTACTGATGCTATTGGTGTGATTTCAAGTATACAATGGCTAGGGAATCTTTTGATAAATCAGGCCTTCAGAGACCTTTTCTAATTAATAGTCTTCCTTTTCTGTTGAAGTCTATAATTTTTCAATTATTTCTTTTTAATCAAAGATTTGTCTTAACAGAATACAAACACTATCTGTGAAGTAAAAATGGAAATCAGTGATTTAAATTCCACTTTCTTCAAATTATCGTGCGGAAATGACATGCGTTATTTTAGGAAGGGAATTTCTGGTTTTATTTTCTTCTTCCAGCCAGTGAATGAGCCATAGCTCCATAATTCCCATTTGTAGTGTATGCTGAGCATACCAGAAACCACAGGATCCTAGTAGAGCATGACACTGCCTTTCAGACTGCTTTGGGCTGATAAAAAAGCAGTGCAGATGTGCCATATTTCTGTGTTTCCTTCAGAATAAGCATGTCCCTGCTTTTTGGGTTGCTCATTTTTTTCCTTAGCCAGGGAAGATGTACTGTCGTACATATGCAGTGTTTTCCCTCCCTCTTTGTTTTCAAGAAGGAGCTCTCCTGCAATCTTCCCATAGCAAGAAGAAAATCCTATGTCTCTCAAGTGCCTCTAGGTAGAGGGAAAAAAAACCTTAGCCAATTCAAGTGTAATTTTGAGCAGTGCTGCAGGCATAGTGTAGATAAGGAAGGCAGTAAAAAGCAGTTGCAACAAAAGGATACCAGGCTTTCTTTTAGAATGTTTGTGAGTGGATTTTGCATGGTCATAGGAACCTTATGTGGGAAATACTGAACAAGAGGAGGCTCTTCCAATCTTTGATACACTGTGTAAGCAGTTTGCACTGGGCTTTTGGTCTCAATGGGCATGATCTTATGAATTGTGCTTTGTGACAAACAGGGCATGGCAGCATTGGTGTGAGGAAATAAACCAAGTGCTTTATCTGCTACTCCTTGTGGGTAAGCATAATGAAATGTGGATGAAGTCCAGAAGTTTGGACCTGTGAGCAGTATTCTATTACAAAAGAACAGTCAATGTCTTATCAAAGCTTTAAGTAAGTTTCCCATATAGATTTTTCAGTGCATTGCTGTAGCAGAAAACATTAGTCTTTACTCTCAAATTTCTTAACATCACTTTATCAAGTACTGATGTTCCTATTTTCTAAATTTGGAGTGTCGGGGAGTGGACTCATAGAATGTGGGTATTTACTATGTATGTAGCTACTCCTAAACTGGGTATTTAAGTTCCCATCTTAGTGCAGAGGGATCTGATCAATGGCATCAGTGGTTTGACTGATCTCAACACCTGCATTAGTGGTGCTGAATTACACCATAAACTAGTTTGCCTGAGTACTGAAACATCTGACAGCTGACTGAGTTGCACACACCAACATTACATATAGCTAAAGTCAGCTAAATAAATCCCAGTATAAATGGCTTGTCCAAAGTCATCCAGGAGGTCTGGGGAGAATCAAGGTGCCTGATTCCCTCTCTCTTGAGGCCCACTTTGAGAATTATAAACATCATTGTCATGATATCACCATTTGTTTTACACTCATGAGATGACCCCAGACAGCAGTTTGGCATTTAAGAAGAAAAGGCTTATTAGTGTCTGGAAGATAGTGACATTTGTTTCCATCTGCTTTTAGCCAGCCCTCTCCTAAGGTACTAATTGCCTTTATTGTCATGCCAACCACTGTGCTGTTGTGCGATTGCTTGTGATTTATTGTGTTTATTAAGAGTGCTCAGTGCTCTGTGCAACCTCTGTGCAAGGACTATTTCTATTTTAATTAATTTATATCCTGGTTATCTGCTTTGCACACATCTTAGGATCCCTTTTTTTTTTCAAGATATATTACCCATAACATTGAGGAGAGATAATGAGATGGCTTAATTAACACTGTCATCAGCCAACAATGTTGCTCAATCGCAGGGCACACAGATGTTCTTTCATACTCAGGACAAAAAATGGGAATAGCAATGTGTAAGTGTTCTGTATGTTGCAGTCTTACATAGTGAATTGAAGTCCTTTCTGCCCTCTCAACCAGGCGGCCCAGGGCAAACCATTCTTCAGCATCTAAACTTTGCCTTTTCTTACCATTACAAGTAGGAGATTGGACAAGCTGGTGGTAAAAACACCTGCACTTCGTTGCAACCTGTATAAACATAGACACTGCTGCTATCTTTAATCTATAAATGTAAAGACCTGTTTTGCTGGGTTTTTTTCCCCTGTGGGGAATCCTTAGGGATGTTTGTTATCTTTAGTTTTGAATTTATCATGTGAGTTCAGCTGGAACACCTGGCTTTATAGAAATTATACATGTTTCCTCAGAGAAGTATTGGTTGGTTAAGGGGAAGTTTGGATCTCATTCCCCTGTGTTCTGTTTGTTATTCACCTGTGAAAGGTATTCATATGGTGTTAACTAAAACGATAGAGAGATTAAGTATGTATAAGGATATGACTGTTTTTTTTTCTTTTTTCTCTAAATTTATATGTTTAGTTCTGTCAGTTGTGGTAGACCTCAGTGATGGGCAGCAGTGTCTGTCATGGTGAAATTAAGTGTTACTACAATGTTTCAAAATATTGAATAATAGTTCCACTTGGGAGTTTGACGAACTGCAGTATATATACAATAGTAGTGTATACTACACATGCTAGTGTTTTGCTAACACTGTACTAGCTTCCTCCCTCATCACAAGGTATATGAAGCAGGACTTCCACTGTTACTTACTTTTACAAGGTGTATTTTTGAGAACAATTTTTGCCAATTATGTCCTTTTTAGAAACTCCAGAAAGAAAATCTGTGCTTCCTCACTCCTCACTATGTCTGTAATACTTGTGCTACAACATACCTTGAACACTAGAGTACTTTTAATTATCTTTATCTCATGGCACTCAGCTTATCAGTTAGCTGATTGGCACACCTTGTCTGCATTAAAAAAGTCATCATAATCCAAATTAAAGGCAAGGCTAGGGTAAATCAGGGTCATCAAAGGACAAATGAAACAGGTTTAACAAGATAGAGAGTTTTTGGTAATTAGTGATTATGCAGAAAGAATTTTTGGCTGATTTGGCTAATTGGCCTTAGTCTTCAAAGCTGAAAAAGAAAAACTGCAGTGTGTTCTGGAGGGAAAACCCAAGCCATTGAGAGGTGGGGTATTTGATTTGTTTAAATTCACTTCCATAGCTTGATATTCTATTCCTTTTTATGTAAATGCTGAGGGGTTTATAGCCTTTTTTTCACCCTTGATCCAACTGAAGAATACTGGTGTAGGTTCCAAAGTGAGGTAAATTGTGGTAAGTTATTTTGGCCAAGGATAAGCGAAGCTTGCCCAGACCACATATCCCTTTCATGAAGTGTAAAAGAGGTTACACTGAATAAATAGTTCTGCATGTCAACAAGTGAGGTTTTCAATAGTAAAAAAAACAATAAAATCTTATCAGTAGATCCTCTAGGACACAAATTCAAATTCTCATTTTTAGAGTGTGCCACACAAATCTTGACCTCTGCAATATCTCAAAACACATATACAATTCTTTGTTTATGCTATTTTTTTCTTTTTTCTTATTTATATATTTTTTTATAAAATTAATAGTCTTCTTCAACCTAATTACAGTAGCAGTCAAGTACCATTCCTTACAAGGCAAGACCAGTCCAGATTTATGACCAACATTAGTTTTTATATGCAGCTTATATTTTTCGTTTGATCCATTGGAGGTTTTTTCCTTCTCTTAGCTCTGAAAGGCTACAGGGACCTGAGTAGTTCTCATTTACAACCTCAGACTGGAAATAGGCAGCCCGACACTGGTACACTGCTGGGTGAGACCACAGTTGCAATAGCATGACTAGGAAATGAGTAGTAATAGGTTGGTTTGCTCTTTTAGGTAACTGTTTGCTGGACCAACCAAGAAAGCACATCCTGGGGCCCGAGGAGCTACCAGGACAAACCTACGATGCCATTCGTCAGTGCAAACTGGCATTTGGATCTGAATACACAGTGTGTCCTGGTATGGATGTGTGCTCTCGCCTCTGGTGTGCAGTTGTGCGCCAAGGTCAGATGGTTTGTCTGACTAAGAAGCTGCCTGCTGTGGAGGGAACACCATGTGGAAAAGGGAGGATCTGCCTCCAGGGAAAATGTGTTGACAAAACCAAGAAGAAATACTACTCAGTAAGTTACCAGCTGTGACCCTAGGGAATTTTAGAAGGCATAATCCTCAAAGGCGCTGATTTCTGTGGGAGTGAAAAGGACTTTATGGAAGTCAGATCGAAAGCTGCCTTATTTTTTGCATGTAATTGGAGCGTTATTGGTGAGAAATATATGAAAAACACTGATGAGTTTCAGGAAGCATGTTTTCTTCTTGAAGTCTGAAAGCCTTCTTTCCTGGAAAATTGGGAGAAGCCCTTCAGAGTAGGGGATTTGCCCATTCAGTAAGTCAAGAGTCAGGACATACAGAAAGATTGTCAAGGACCTATTCTTAGCTTCCTGGCTTCTTGGCAACAGACCGTGAGATGAATTAAATCTATAAATTCAACTTACAGTCCTTATCTGAAAGGCCTCAGGGCCCTAAAGTAGTGAAGAGAAAGGTGGATGACATTCATCCAGAATGTAATTTCTGGAGCAGAAAAGTTTGTACCTCCAGTGACAGAGTTCTTTCTGTCAACTATACATCTGAAGAGTCCTGAGGCTCATGAGAACTGATGGCTGCACAATTTACTGGGTAGACAGTAACACTGCCCCTTCTGTTATACACACAGAAGGGGTACAGACTTGTAGAGATTTATGAAGATACTTGCAAACAATGAGGGTCATTCAAATCAAGATATAGCCCTTACAATACCCTTTTTTATGAAATTATATACTTTTACCTGCTGTTGCAGTACTCTTTCTAGGTAGCCAATTTTAGCTGAGTTGCAAACAATACCTGACAACTCCATCTCTTGCCAGTAATTCAGAGTAATACCTACACATCCCAATAATTGCATTTAATTAATCATAGATTAGCCTTATGAACATATTCTGGGAGCGGAATCCTTTGGAGATGGTTTTAAGGGGCCCTATTAACAGCAAAACATGAGAGCAGCATATGAGACTGTGAGTGCTATTTCTGGTGCATGTGTGTCTTCCATGAAACAGGCTGAAGGCAGCTGTGCAGAGCAAAACCTAGCTTTATGTTTGCATACACAGTGCCAAATGAGACATTGTCAATATGCAGCTAAAAGACAGAAATTTGCTCTGCTCGGAGGAAGAAGGCTCCTAAGGCCTGTTAAGCCTCATTAAAATGACCAAGGGATTGCCTTCAATTCAGCATTAGCAGTGTCTTTGAGATGTAGCACCTTTATTCACACTTGGATGATATCCTTACCTCCCACTGTTCCACATATTTCAGGCTTCAAGTCATGGTAACTGGGGGTCCTGGGGACCTTGGGGACAGTGCTCCCGTACCTGTGGCGGAGGAGTTCAGTTTGCTTATCGTCACTGCAATAACCCAGCTCCTAGAAACAATGGCCGGTACTGCACTGGCAAGAGGGCCATCTACCGCTCCTGCAATGTCACACCCTGCCCAGCAAATGGTAAGTGTCTTTGTGCCAAAGTGTCCTCATGCTCCAGCCTCTGTGCTCATAGATAGTAAATGTTGAACGTCTACTGTGAAAGGAAACAACAAAGGTCCATTGTAGTTTCTCTAAAATATATTTACCAAGGCAAGACATTCATCATTAATACAATGCTGTAGTTCTTCCCCCATCCCCACCCTGACGCCATACAGAAAGGACACTTGAATGAAAGATATTTCAGTCCTGGAAAATGAACTGTAATGAAAACGTTAGTATTTTTATGCTTATTAAGTCATGGGAAGATTTCCAAGCTAAAAAAGTTGAAGAATTTGAAGACCAGTTCTAAGTAAAGAGATGAAATGATGTAACTTAAAAATTATGTAAAAAAGAAATTGGAATAATTGATGGGCATAATGATATTTGCAATGCGGTCTGAAATAGTCACTAATGATGTGAATAATTCTACAGCTAAATCTTTTAGACAAGAGCAGTGTGAAGCAAGGAATGGCTATCAATCTGACGCAAAGGGAGTCAAGACATTTGTTGAATGGGTCCCCAAGTACGCTGGAGTACTTCCCGGAGACGTTTGCAAGCTCACCTGCCGAGCCAAAGGAACTGGATATTATGTGGTGTTTTCTCAGAAGGTAATGGCATCTCCAGTCATGATTTCATGCTCCAGTTTAGAAGTATCCAGTATCTTAAAAATTTTTTCCCACAACAAGGGAAAAGAAGTTAATCACATGATCCAAAGATTTAACTGTGTGATTAGATGTAACAGTTTGATCCACTGGTTATACATTAGGACCAGAATTGGCCTCTAAAATGAGGTAAGTTTTTCCACATCTCCATATGTGGATACTTGAAAAATATGGGCCTCTTAGTGCGCTCTGCACTAGTTTGTTTTCAGTAGTGGATAAAGAGGTTTCTGTCTGGAGAGTCATCTGTCATTATGGGGTTTTCTGAGTGAGAAAGAGCACTAATAGTAAAACAGTAAGTTTTACCCTGAATTATGTTAAGGGAGTTCAGAGTAACTCTTATGGAGCCAATTAATATAGAATAATTAGCCAATTAATATAGATGTGACTTGTGGTCAGTTTATTATATCAGATGCATTTTAAACTGAAATGTCTCCTACACTTACACTTGCAATTTTCTGCCTCTAAATATTATGACAGTAACATTTAGATGTAAATAGTCCAAATGCAAGGCTATCTACAAGTACTGTCATTATTATTATTAATAAGCTGTGAGATCATCATGAAAGCCAAGGTCATTTTAGTGTCTTACAGTGGAGTTATCTGTCATTTTCAGCCCTTTGCTAAATTTTATCTGCTTTTCTGCTGTATATTAGAGAAACTCAGTCTGGTCTGTCAGGGCGGGTACTCTGTTCTGAGTAGGTGACAGAAATAAGTAACTGGGCTTTGCTAGCCAGATTCACAAAAAGTAAATCTTTTCCATGGTAATTTTAACTAACTGTTATTTGATTGCCCAGGTAACTGATGGTACTGAATGTCGACCATATAGTAATTCAGTCTGTGTGCGGGGAAAATGCATCCGAACTGGTTGCGATGGCATCATCGGTTCAAAGCTCCAGTATGACAAATGTGGCGTGTGTGGAGGAGATAATTCCAGCTGCACGAAAATCATGGGAACCTTTACCAAAAAGAGGTATTGATCTTAGTCTTAGTAAATGTATCTTCTTGTGCAAATATATTGCTATGTGCTTACTTTCTTTCTGTCTCTAAATGCAATTTACTTTCATATGGGAAAAGTACATTGCCTGTGCTTTATTGCACTTTCCAGATGTTTACAGCTGACACCTTAACATTACCCTGAAAGTGGCAAATAATCAATTGGCAAAACACTGCGCCCAGTTCATTTCTGACACAAAGTGCCAGTGATAGAGGTGAGCACCCCATTAATAGGACGTTTGCCTGGAGTAAGGCATGCTAATCTCACTATTAGATGGCTTGTGGTTTCTAAAGGAGAGAGGAAAGGGAAGAGAGGAGTGAGTCAGGAAGTTGTTGGGATCACATTAATCTGGATATCTCTGAAACTCTCCATTTCCGGATGATGCTGAGTTATCAAGTTACATCCTGAGAATGTGTTTTATCTCATCAAACTTTGAATGACAATGAGGATATCCTACCTGATTTAGTGACACGGATTCCTTGTATAGCTGGTGGAGAGAAGCAGACTGCATTAGGGCACAGCTGTACAAATATTCCTTAATTGCTAGAAGCTGAAAGGGATTACACCCTAAAAATACCTTTTCACACTGCTTGAGTATATATGGAGCTTAGATGACTAGATGAAACGTCAGAAGCAAACACAGGCTCAAGCATGGTATTTGCTATATCCTTTCATGTCCATTGGCATATCAATCTCCAGATAGACTTCTTTTTAAGTCAGAATATTTATAGCAGTTATCCATTGTCCTGTCAGAGTTTCGCTTTTAACTGTAATAAAACTTAATAAAAGTAAAAGAAAAGGAACTGCCCCCATGGTTTGCCTTGACCACACCTGAGGGCAGCAGAAAGCTTTGTACTGAGATACCAATGTCAAGGAAGTCTGCTTTCTCTCTGAACTCTTGTTTCCTTCCCTCTTCAAGTCTTAAGATGCTTAGAAAAATGAGTATTTTTAATTATCATTTATATAGATTCCAAGGTCTCAAAGGACTGCTGTAGTGATCTACTCTTAGAAACTTGCAGTTGACAATTTCTACTCTGTGACTGCATTTGTGTAGTCTTGTATAATGTACATAAACTTGATTTTGGGTTATATCTTCCAAATTCTCACAGAGCATATCAAAAGCTATGAGAAGTTGGACTCTGACTCCAGAAATTACTTTTTATTTCTATACATTTTGACATACTGATTAATAGCTCTCAAAAATGGCTTTGAGAGTCAATTTATTCTGAAAATAAACATAACTAACTTACCTCCTGGTAAACCAATGATTACACACCTAAGAATGCTAAAACACCTCTGCCGAAAAGAATGACTTTCTATCCCAATTTGTAATTATATAAACTAAATCTTTTCCAGTTTGTAAATGTTGAAATGTCTGGGATGTGTAAATGAAGAAGATGATAGTGTGAAATATACTTCATGGGGTTCAGTAATGATCTTTGTACTGGAATCCAAGCTCCAGCAAAAATGTTAAATGGACTCCTTGAATTTCAGTGAGGCCAGATTTGTAGCATATATACACATGGATAAATTATGTTATGATTATTCCTATGAAATTACAATCTTACTCCTCAAATCATGTCTTTAACTGAAATGAGAGTGGTCAAAGAGTAAAATATTCATTCAACCTCAATGCATGAAAAAGGTTGCCCCACTTAGAAAGTAATAGTCAACATGTAAGTGCCAAGTTCTAACTTGATTTTGACTGAATTTTGGAATGACAAGGATTTCTTTTTGCTGGAAATACTGTTTGAGACAATTCCCTTATGTGAGTATCTAAGTGTTTAAGGCCAGGCTGGATGGGGCTTTGAGCCAGGCCTAGTGGAAGGTGTCCCTGTGCATGGCAGGGAGATTGGAACTGGATGGTCTTTAAAGTCCCTTCCAACCCAAACCATTCTGTGATTCTATGAGTCTGTGAGCAACTGACTTTAAAATAAAACCCTTTAAAATAAAACCCTCATTAAAATAGTGAAATCTTAATTGTCTGAAAACTGTTTTTACATATGAAATGGCAGTAGCTGTAGCAAAATTATATTTTCTCCGCCGAAAAGTAGCAGCTCTGCATTGCTGTCTATTATAAACCAAACTATAGCAATCTGTACATTCAGTGTACAGGAAAACTATTAAATGTACAAGGGGAAACTAGTATTTCCCATTGCAGTCAATTGCCATAATAACATTTGTACTTTTTTTCTTTTAAAGCAGTCAAAACATAATCTTCTTGAAAACTACTTCCTAAGAACTTTTTTTAAAAGGCTTTAAAGCCAAATTGTCAGAAGTTGGGAATTAAGGCTGTATGTGCTTCTTTGTGCACATGGAGTGTTACAGTTCTTTGTGCAGATGACTTGAATTCTGCAGCATTGCTTTTAGTTTTTGAACAAATGATATTGTAACTTTAATATATGGTTTAACAGTTATCTTGGCAGCTCTTATGTAAAAGTATTAGCACAAGGCTGTAGACCAGAGTATCCCCAGCCTTTTTTTCACACCATATTCCTTCAGCTTTATGGAGGTGCTAAATCAATGGAGTTTTAGTCATTGTCCCATAGCTGCTGGAAATAGGGGAATAGCACAAGTGTTTAATCTGTACTTTGTGCAGTCTCTACTTTTGCAGCTAAAATTTCTCAAAATTAGCAGTCTGTTCTTTAAACATTCCCAAAGGAGACCCCTTCACTTTTATATCATTTTAGTAAACCTTATCATTCCTTTTTTTCTTAGAAGTTTCAGCACTAAACTTTTCAGATTTGAGATACTTGCAAAATGGTTTTGTCACAGGTTTAGAAATGATAATACATGTCTCCAAAGTCCATCTGGTAGCTTATGGCTATGTATGGTCTTTAGATTTTTTCTATATATCAGTAAAAATAAATAATATACTTGAGATAGTGTTAAGTTCCAGCACACTTGCAGGTTTTGATTGCTTGTCACTTTTGGTAGAAGAGTTTCTTTTTGCAAATCTGAATTAAGATACTCCATAAGTAGCGACAGAGAGAACTCTGATGGTACAAATGAAACATTTGGGTGCACCTCATACTAGACACGTGACAATTAATCTTTGGCTTTATGTATTTCAAAGTAAACAAATTTTTTCTCGGTGATCAAGATTATTTTTAAATGTTCCCAAGGTACCTCTACCCAGCTGTTACTCTGCTCATACTTTCCTTAATCATCATTATAGCAAAGACGGCAAGAAACAGCTGTAACCAATGCATATCTCATTATCTTTTCCTTGGCAGGCAAAGCATGCATCATATTTCATATCTCCCACCCTTTGCTGAAATATATAAGCTATCTGTTATTTTTCATTCGTCTTGTATCTGACTCAAGTAAAATTGTTGCTAAAGATTAAGCAATTTGAAATAAGTGCAGTAGAAATTTCTTCAAGAACATAAAGAACAATACAATAGACAAACAGTGGAACCTGGTTAAATTAATCTTAGATGAGCCTCAAGCCAGATGGATTCAGGACTTGAACTAAAATGAAGCAAGATGTGTTATGCCAGTGACTTCATTAGGTGTTGCAGTAAAACTTGAGGCTTATTTCATGATAGCTACTGAATAGTCCTTTTTTTTCCCTCATTCAGCAAGGGCTACACAGATGTAGTGAAAATCCCAGAAGGGGCAACCCACATCAAAGTTCGGCAGTTCAAGACTAAGGACCAGAGCAGGTTCACTGCCTACCTGGCCCTGAAAAAGAAAAATGGTGAGTACCTTGTAAATGGAAAATACATGATCTCCACTTCAGAAACAATCATTGATATCAACGGGACTGTCATGAACTACAGTGGCTGGAGTCACAAAGATGATTTCTTGCACGCAATGGGACACTCTGCGACAAAAGAGATTCTTATCGTGCAGATACTTGCAACTGATCCAACTCAACAAGTGGATGTCCGTTACAGTTTCTTCGTGCCAAAGAAGCAAGGACAAATGACTAACTCTGTCACCAGCAGTGGCAGCAGCAGCAAAGTACCTCCACAGCTCATGCAACCCCGCTGGGTTACGGGGCCGTGGCTTTCTTGTTCTCGAACATGTGACACAGGATGGCACACCAGGACTGTCCAGTGCAAAGATGGGCATGGAAAATTAGCTAAGGGATGTCTTCTCTCCCAGAGACCATCAGCATTTAAACAGTGCTTGTTGAAAAAGTGTTAACCTGTGGTTGTGACCTTCTTTACGAGAGGTTTGATTAAGCCATAGTTGACATACTGGTATTAGGTCTGCCCAGAGAGAAGCAAAGGCTTCAGTGTACTTACATACAGTCTCAAATTATGGGCAGAATCTGCCTATTTGGACCAAATGAAGATGTGCACTGCTTTAAATAATAGTAGGGTGATCTTAATATGTCAAAAAACTAAGCATCAAAGTTGTTACAAGCCCTCTGTGTCTGCAAAACTATAAAATAAAATAATGCAAAAGAAGAAAAACTAGTGAATGGAGGATCCTGGGATATTTGAAGGTTACAGAATCATCTCCCCTTTTTCACCTACCTCTAATACAGTATATCCTTAGAAAACATCACATGTACCCATGATACCACAGTAGCTTATTTTATACTGTTTTGTAAATATCTTTCATTTGGTATGTCACTTTATATCACTTGGTTCTATTAAAATCAAATTACAATAAGCAAAGTAATTGACCAAAGTATATCTGCAGCCCTTGAGGACTTGGTCCATTCTTCAGAAAAGGCTGCAGATGTTTTACTGGAAAATGAAGAGCTTGCTACTGGTTTTAAAAAGTTACACCTTTTGGTTTTGACAAAAGGAAACACATTTTCATACTAGGAATTTCCTGGCAGCAGACCATTATTCTGTGACAAATACTGTGTTTCCACCAACAAATTCTCAGAAGGAGCACTGCAGCAGCTTGCAGACCAGGGATCCCCACATGTACATTGCTCCAATACCAGCACCATCAGCAACTCCTCACGATGTGTATGTCAGACACAGAGAGGAGGAGGATTTGGCTGCTAGGGGGGATTTGTGTACACTTTGCTTGTACACCTTGCACTGGTTCTGGCTGTGCCACTGCTTGGGGTCCTTGTTGTCAATGAACAATAGCTGCTAGCTTCTTCTTTCCATAAAACAAAAGCATACTGTATTTTGTAGAAACTAGTTAGAGAACCAAAAATTACAGGTAAAACAATCAAGTGTCTTCTAACTCAGATATTCTGAGGCTGCGTTCGACTGCTTTCTCTGTTATTTTCTCTATGGCTTCCACCTTGAATCTAAGAATGTGTAATATACCCACATCTTTTGAAGAGGCTATAAAGGTCAGAAAAAACACAGCAAGCAGTTAATATTTTGTCACTGTTTTGTCCATCATGTCTAACTCTGGTATTCATCTTACCAGCAAAAGTTTGTAACTATTTGTCTTTTTTGATTGTTTTGTGTGTGTTCGGGTTTGTTTTTTTTTTTAAGCTATAAGAAGGCACTCATTTTTTGTGTATCTATCTACTATGCTTGAGAGAAAAAGGGGTCATTAGGAAGTCAAACCACATCAGGATGTGGAGGACTTGCCCAATATCAGTAAGACTGTTTCCACAGTACAGGCAGTAGCTGCTAATGGTTTTCATTGGCAGCAACTTCTGCATCCCATTATTGTCTAGTAGAACTTCTGTGACTGAAGATGGGCATTTCACCTTATGCAGGTAGCAAGGGGAGGCCTGATAGCAAGCCTGTTAAAATTGCTTGCTTTTCTATCAGCGGACTTTGAATTAAGCTCTGGGTTAACAGTACCAAGAGAAGTGGTTCGAATATGCTGATGAAAATAGAATTCCATCTGTCTTTTATTCCTTTGATCATCCACACAGGAGAGTATGAGACTGCAGGAGAATTGTCAGATAAGCCTCACAGCTGTGAGTCAGTGATACTTGAACATTGAAATATCCCAGGCTTTTCTGAAAATCCCAATCATGAAATCAGTAGAGAGAACATTTTGGCCTGTGTAGCAAGAAGGGCAGGTCTCACTCAGGCTGACACAAACATGTTTTTGTAACAGCGGCATGTTTTTGTGAACTCTAAGAAAGCATGTGATGATTTCAAAACAGCATAGAATTGCTACATCTACAAGTGTGAAACCTGGAGAAGTTGGGGTTTTTTTGTACCCTGTTCTAAATAAACAATAATAGGGGCGGGGCCTCTCTCTCTGTCAAAACTAATTACCAGAGAATGCTACTAGTCATCTTCAGCATTCAGAAGTGCTTTGGCCTTCTTTGTAGGAGTAGTTCTATGCAAAACAGTGGATCTTGAGGAAAATTCCCCACTTAATCTCTGATCCCACCCTAAGAACTGAGATCAAGGCTCTGCAGAGATATTTGCAGAGATATGGAAAGATTTATGCCTTCTCTACCTTCGAATGTAAGCTCCTTTTGAAGTGTCTTATTTTCCTTTTAAGTAATCTAATTTTTATATACGTATTACATGTGTTCTAGAACATCTCAAAAAGGCTCATAACAAATGAAACCATCATGAGAGAAAAAATAAGGAGACTTAATGTGTCTCAGCATAGACTTAACATTTGTCTGTTACATACAGCTGCTGCATTAAGTGACATTTGTTTTTCCTATGTTTTATCATAGTGTACAAAAGACAGAATGTGCAAGTATTTGTGTTTGCATCATAGTAATAATTTATTATATATTCAACAGGATGAGTAAAGTTTTTGGGTGCTATTTAGGCTCCAGAAGAGCAATACCATACGTGGGTATAAATTTAGTGCTTCCTTAGATCAAGAGTATCTTTTTCATAGAAAGAGTTTATTTATAAAAAAATAGATCAGTGTGAGAACAAACCACTATAGTGACTTTTCCCTTTTCACCAGCCTGGTAATGAAGCAAATAAATTAACATAAGCAAAAAGCAGTTGCCTTTATATGGTGAGAGGGCAAAGGAGACAGACCAAGGAAGCAACCCTAAAAGTGTAAGATAAACCAGGTCAGCCTGCTCTAGTTAACCCTTGCTTTTTAGCTGTTCTTTTTAATCAGATTCCAATTCCAAACCTTGCTTTTGTCAGTCATAGCTATCTCATGTAACTGATTGGAAAATAGGTGCAGGGTATGTATGTGACTTTGTCATTTCAGGTTCTCTTCTCAGCTAAATTCCTTGTCACTTACACTGTTATGTCATTGTTTACATTACTACCAAGTGTTGCCAAATGTAAAATGCATCTAGGGCATAGAAACCCAGACTACGGCTCTTTGCATGGAAAGAAACAATCCTTAGTGTTAAATTCACTGCTGACTCTTTGGGATATGTCTCCAGTGCCCTTAGGTGGAATTGGACCTCTCAGCATTGGTGGGTTTTAGAGCATCTGCTTTTCAAATAAGCGATTCTCATTAGGAAAAAGCCTATCATCTTTGGTTTGACAAGATGCATACAAGAAATTAAATTTAGCTGCCCTCCTGTGGAAACAGTTTTATCACAAGGGGGAGAGGGAAGAATCTTGTGGATTAATCACAACTGTTAAAAAAAAATAAAAGCAACACAGCACTGAAAAAAATAAAATAATTTATTGTTTTTACAACTGGTATGTGAACAGATGTAATGAATTTATTTATTCTTATTTAACAAAAATACCAATTGTGCGAATTCTATATTTAAAATGTTTTGCTATCGTCTCTGTCTCTCTCTTTCTCGCTCTCTTTTAATTTATGCTTCAAATTTGTGTTGAAAGTACGCCTTGTGAGTTTACATAATATATGGCACTGGTTATTTTTTGTATGATTTTATTGAGAAAGCTTTCTGCATGGAACAGGAGTATATGTGTATACATGTGTGCACACAGTATAGATGTATATTCTTTTTCTGCTACCATCTTTTTCTTAGAGAAGTTGTAGATTTGTAATTTTGGGACACCTCATGCTCAGAGCTCCTTGTTACACTTTACTCAACTAGCAAGTCAAGAGAAAAACCCATACCAGCTCCTGAAGAAGTCAGACAACAGACTTGCTTCACATAGGCACATGTAATTCATGCTGTGTGCCTCACTGATTTACCACCAAAGCTGGTGCTCAACGGGAGCAACTTCAGGCTCCTAGTAAATGGTAATGCTTTATATGTGAATGAAGCTTATCTGACTTGTCAGGGTGGCAAGCGAATCTTCTCTTGTGCTTCTTATGTTTAAGTGAAAACACTACAGAGAAACTCGTGTGCCTGTTTAAAAATATAGCTGAAACTACATATGATTTGGGTTATGAAGACTGAACCATTGAGAAAGCTACTTTTCCAGTCTTTTCACCATTTGTATACGTATATAAATATGTATATATGGCTATAAAAGATCAAAAGCCGAATTTGGAAGGCTTTGCAATGTTTAACTTCATTGTATTCCAGCTCTTTGCACCACATCAGGCACAGTTAGATGCAAAAAAGCCAGCAAAATGTGTTCCCAGTGTTTCCTTAAAAATAACAATATGTTTGCTTCCACTTTTCATCCAGTCCAACTACTGCTGAACTCAAGAGAACTTGTGTTGGGTCCAGTGTAAGGGAAAAGATGTAGGCAAATGTACAGCTTTTCTACAGTCAATTTATTTAACAAAACAAATTACTTCTGTAGCCACTTCACTGTAAGGGCAGTACTACAGACTGCAAACAATCTATTTCAAACTGTTAAAAGTTATCATCTTGCTAATCAGTGCCCACATTCACGCCAGTTAAATTCCAACTCAGTCCCTCTGCCCAGTGTCTGCTGCCATGTGGGCACTACCAAAGACCCAGAGCCAGCTACAAGGCTTTAGATGAATCTGTGATGGCCAGAGGGTGATACTTCCTCACTTAAGACCCACTCCAAAATCCCAGGGAATGTAGCTTTGGGGTTTAGAAGACTTTATTGCAAGTGCAAATTTTCAGTGATAGCATAAAAAATTTGGAACACCCCAAATATATTCTTAGTGTTCAAGGTGAGTGGTGTAAAATCTTCTCTCCACACACACCATACCAAGCATTTTGATACTGTCCAAAAACAAAATACACAATGCCCTGAAAATTGTCTGCAGAGGATCACAGTCACTGTAAGGACACTAAAACCATTTCCACATACATCAGCCTTGCATAGTCCATGTTGAAATACACATATGGGCACATGTAGAACTTTACTGTGGCTAAATGCAAATGCCTGTGTTTGTATGTGCATGTGTGTGTGTGTGTGTGTATA